TCCCCCCAAAAAATCTCCCATTTACGTAAAGAGTTGGAACACTTGGATGGAGTGCCATTTTGTCGCCACACTGTTGGGTGTCAATCAATCTTGGCAGGTTTTGATTTGAAGTAAGAATATGTGTTATCACACATTTTACACACACTACTGAACAGAGCCGAGTCAAGCTGTACATCTCTGCTCTGGTTGCGCAAAGCACAATGTGAAAAGAAAATGTCAAGCCTCCACAGTACGGTTTGTGTCGACACGATAGTGTGAAAAGGGTCATAAATTGTAAGTATCCATAGTCCAAACCCAGTCTTCATCTCTCAGCATACTTTAGCAGGTGTACAGAGAGAGCATTAGGCCTACAATGCCTGTAGATCGAATACATTTATTCACGCTACATGCCAACATTTTAAAAGTATTTTTAGAGTATCCTTTGGTATACAGTACAGTAGACAATAAAGTAATTTCACACGTTTAACACTCCCATTGTTCACACATTATTAATTAACCCTTAACCTACAATTTCCACAGAAATCGAATTAATATAATAAAAACATGCCCATCAAAATCTGTCTGTTTCATCCCGAGAATCGGTCTTCTCACAAAAACGTCTGTAGCGTCAGAATGGTTTGGCCCACAAACTACTATCCATTGAAAGACGAGACTGAAAGATTAGACTCTCACGAACACTAGAGTGGTCTCCATTTTGCTCTATGACCCCTACAAGCCTTGTCTGAAGTCGGCACAGCCTCTTCTGTCTGTAGCGTCCGAACGGTTTGGGCTACACACTACTATGAGACTCTCACAAACACGATGGTGTTCTCCGTTTTGCTCTGGGACTCCCACAAGCCTCACAAGACTCATCTGAAGGTCCCTGGTACCAGTTTTAAAAATGAATGGAAGTATATGTGGAGATACAGTAGTTTAGTGCCTAAAATATATTAAAATAAGGGGATAAATACATATAGTTTCCTGATCTTCAGGAAACTTCAGAACAAACTTCCTTTTAATTTTTTCTTTGGACTATCTGTTGTTCCATGTAGTGAATCTGTTCTTCAATGCATTTCTATTGGATAATAGCAGTAATGCCAAATTCAATGTTTCATCAAAAAGGTTTTGTATATATATTTTGACACCTTAAGGGGTCATAAAAATCAAATAACTAAATGCTCCTTGTTATGCCCATATTAAAACAATTCCATATGTTAGTTTAGAACCCCCCCCCCCCCCCACCCCACACACACACACACACACACCTCCCCTAGAGGGTTATCGGCTTGATGCAAACAAACTTATTGTACAGAGATAACACTGTAACTGCCGCATATCTGACATTTAGCTAAAACACTGCTCTCATGAAAGTGACTTCAAAGTGTGAGCTCCTTAAGGATTACCACTTCCTTGGACCCCAGGAAGAATAGATGCTGCTTCTGCAAAAGCTAATGCGGATCTAAATAAACAAGTAAATAAAGAAATAAACATCACGTTCAGTAGGCCTACATCTTCTTGAACCACCCAGGTAATGACAGCTATTCAATAAGATAAAGGTTGTTCCATGTGTCAGACATCACAGGCTGTTCCTCTGTCAGTTTCTCTGGTCTTCCATGGCCCTTGGCTTGAATCTGCTGCTCCCATGTCAAAAGTAGAGAGTGATTTCCAGGAGCAACACACTACTCTTAAAAAATGGAGACTCTTGTCTGAAGTGATGAAATGGCTCATACTAAGAACAGGGCTAGCTTGTGGTAGACAGGGCAGAAGACAAGATAAGACCAGACAAGGGAAGGGAAGAAAGTGTTTTAGTTGACCACTGGTCTCAAGGTTCATCAAATGCAATAACTACTGGGTGTTAGCCAATTGTGATGCCTGGAAGCAGCTCTAGTCAAGACAACACCACTAATACAACGCATTTGACACAACGGTGTGATACAACTGATATGTTTGTCTGCACAAAAATGTTTACACAATCATTGTTTAACTTTTTTGTCAGAAAAGGTCTCTGTTGTACATCAGTTGTACTTCTGTGTGTACGGGCCCAAGGGTGGTTTTAGAAATGTGCTTCATCACTAGTGCCTCATCTTCCCTCACTGTAGTAGGGGAAAACAAGTATGGTGTGAACTGTTAATGACAAAAAGTGACTGAAAGCGTCTTGAAAAATGGATGGCATCACACTGGAAGGAGATACATGCCCATGACCTATTCAGAGCAGAACAGAGTATAATCTAAGAAAGCACCCTATCAAAATGTAATTCCCTGCGGAGATGCACACAGACGGCCAACAATATAACACGCAACAGTGAATATCAATTGTTTGGTTAATTCATTCTAATTAGATCATCTGGATCCTTACTCATTTTGGACAAAGTGGCCTAGATTTCACACAAACAGACAAGATGGAGTGAAGGCTCCCGTTGTCCCTTCTGTTCGACCACACAGCCTCCTGGCCTCAGTTGTTTCCTCCCAGAAACATCTCCATCGAAACCAAGTGAAGAATTGCCAACTGGAATTGCTTTTCGAAAGAGAAACATTTTCTCAAGGAGAGAAAGAAAGTTCATTTGACATGGAAACCAACTGACATAATTTCCCTCGCAAATCAACCTAATTCCATTTCTCGTCTTGTCACCCTGGTTTACTTTCACGCTCATGTAATGTCCTTTTTTTATACCAACGAAGGTGTAGCCGTAGGTTCAGCTCTGGCAGGCCTTGGAGTTATCTAACCATTGTTGGCACAGTCTCTGCAGCAAGAGCCTTTTCTTCAATTCCACTTAATATCCCTCCATGACGGTCCTTCACAGCGGAGGACTGTCACTCCATAACTCTCTCTTTGTATAATGGGAAGGCTTTCAATGCCAAACAGATCTCTGTTTGTACTTGTCAAACTGTACGTCTAACCTGGTGACATTATGTTCAAACTCGAACAATGTCAAGTGACATTATTGCGCAACTCCTTTAACACCACCCTGCCTAGAGACAACCTTCAACTATAACAACTTTGTTTGATCCAACGGTCAATTGTCACATTATTGACATTATTGCATAACTCCTTTAACACCATGCTGCCAATTATCAACCTTCACTCACTCTATAACATCCTTGTTTTATCCAATGGTCTGTATGTTGATAACATGCGCCATTCCATTGTGTCTTGTAGTTTGAGTTAAATGGGTTGGTGGGATCCCTGGTCTTCACACCCTCAGCTCTGTGAGTGAAGACAGGACATCCTCTGACAGGGCTGTGGATGTAATCACACCTAGTGCACTGCTGTTTCCTTTCAGCATTTTCACTCAGTGTGTATGCTATGGCGGATCCTGTCCAAGCTAAATGATTAATGGGGTTGAAACGGCTAACGACGGTGCAGAGGCTGCAGAATCCAGGTCTCAAGAAAAATACATGAGCTGAAAAGAAGTTGAGGCGAGTGCTCTGCCGTCATCCATGTTTTTATTTTCTGAAAGTCTTCTACAATGACCCGTCTCTCTCTCTCATGAGAAATGCGATTATTGCTTCTCGGCAACACATTGGTCCAACACCTCAAAAAAGCACTTACCATGCTACTAGTGCTTAATGTCACCCATTTTGGAATTTGATGTCCAAAACCAAAAACCCATTTGGAAAGAGAATCATGAATTTTGGATTTCATTTGACTTCATAACCTTCAAGTTGCCAGTGAGAAACAGAGTTAAGTAAGTTTCTAATAATAAAATCCCTCTTGAAGTGATGTTTAGCAAGTCTGGAAGCCTTGGCTGATGCTTTCAGTCTTTAAAAATAACAGAATTTAACTTCAAGGCAGTGTGGCTAAGTCCCTGTGGATTGAAGAATGCGTGCTAAGTGGAGAACGGCTGGTCAGAAATAGCAAAATAAATCGCCTCAATGGGAGCGTAGAACAACATATTGCAGAAAGCTTTATGTAATGGTAGAGCTGCTGTAGTTGAGTGTATGGTACAGATAGCTACTGTGTGTAGGCTATATGGAGAAAGTAAGACCTGTAGATCACTCAAGGGCTTGACAGAAATGAGTCAAACTTCCTTGCCTTTATTAATCATAGGTTGATGTTTGACTAGTAGGGCCTAACCCACAGTCAAGTCAAGGTAAATGATCATTTAACTGGTCTGGATATAGAGCCATATATAGACTGGTCCATAATACATACTGTATAAAAATAAACACTTTTTAGATTTCTGCTATCGAGTTCTTTTTGGAGGAGGCCAAGCCAAATTGGGTTTAGACTTGCTTAATGAACACGCATGCTTGATAATGATTAAAATGGAACCTCAAACAATAATTCCCTTGGTTGGTTACCACATAATCGAATTGTTAGATCATAATAACAAAGGACTGTGGGAGAGCAAAGACAGAACTGACCTCAACATCAGTATGATTTGATGAAAATGACGACATCAGTCACAAAACAGCATCAGTCACAAAAAATATATATACAAAGAGGGTTTATTTATGAAATAAATACAGCACCATGTAATAAGTTAATCTATTCATGTACACTATGTGAAATGGCATTTGCCCTTAAAGGTCCTCTGGCTTTCTCCATCTTTGATGATGTCACAGTAGGGCACAGTTGACTTAACAAAAGACCATCTGGCTAGAAGCCAACTCCCCACCTAGTGTTGTGGAATGTTTTCACAGTAACATTTTTTCCATCCTCTGCTCTGCAGAGAGCTACTCAATCCATCCCCACCCTGTTGAAGCCTCGCCTTAACAACAAAAACACCCAGCTCCGGAACCACACAAAAAGATTGTCCTTAAAAAAACACTAGCATTTCAGTTCCTTTTTGCAATGTATTGTCTGGATCCAGCCCAGCATTGTCCCTCTCCTCTTGGCTTTCATGAAGGGATGAGTTCTTTGTACCTCCATTTCATCCTGTCCATGCTGCCACAGCCTCTCCACCCTCCAACCACAACACAGCCATGTCAATTAACAAGTTCTTCTCCCGTTAAACCAATCCCAGCCTCTTGACCTCACGCAAACACCGAAGCCCCAAAATGGCAGCAGTTTTGGTTCTTCAGTTGCACCTCTGCAGCAGCATGTTGAGTGCGTACTCCATGCGACTGCGCAGGTCGGCGCTGCAACCGGCCATTAGGAGGGTGCTCAGGCGCAGGGTGGTGGAGATGCGCTCCTCGTTGATGTAGGTGAGCAGGTACTCATCACTCTGTCTGCACAGGAGGATCTTGGTGTGGTCATGGTAGAAGTTCACCTGCAAGGGAGGGGAGGGAGGTTAGGAGGAGTCAGAACGCAGCAAAACAAAATTATTTCACCATGGGAGTGGGTATATGTAGACTGTCTGTGGTGAGGTGGCGGAGCGAGGCGTGGCATGTGTCTAGCAGTCTAGTCGGATTAGAGATTTGTTTTGCGAGGTGTACGTGCTTGTGAAAGCGAGGGGTGTGCGTGCTTGTGAAAGCGAGGGGTGCGCGTGCTTGTGAAAGCGAGGGGTGTGCGTGCTTGTGAAAGCGAGGGGTGCGCGCACGTGTGAAAGCGAGGGGTGCGCGCACGTGTGAAAGCGAGGGAAAGTGTGGCTGGATATGCTTAAACATATTCGCATTTGTTTTTCCAAAATAAAAAATATTGGGGCGCTTTCTGTCCCCCACTTTCAAGAAGCACAGTCAAAGGGGCTAATCTAAAATGGCTCCCTAGTCATGTTTATAGGGAATAGGAAGCCATGTAGGGCAAAGCCATAGAGAACAGCCATCTAGACAATAAGCGATATTGCTGTGCAGCTGTACCTGGAAGGTGCCGTCGTTGAAGAGCATCATGAGGGCCCGGTCTGACTTGAGCCACTGCAGCAGGTAGAGCCTGGGGTTCCTGGGGTCTGTCACGTTGGGCAGGTCTCCACCATCCATAAGGTTCTCCTCCATGTAATGGGCAAAGTATTTCAGAATGGTGACCTGGCCTATGAATGGCTCTGGAGCCTCGCATGTGGAGAAGACAGAACAATGGCCCAGCTCAGCATAGTAGTGAACGGTCCTGGAGAGAACACCAAAGGGGGAAAACAGTTAGTGAGGGGGAAACCAATGGCACGATCACGCCTTTTGTGAGAATGGAATGGCTAAGTAATGGCAATGCCTAGGGATTGGCCAAACTTTTTCTACCTAATATCTTTAGAATTGACCATCCTATTTTCCAATGTAATCGTAAGATCTGGTACCAAACTAGACCGACAGGGTGGCACTACTCACCTCTTGTCTGCTAGCAGACTCATGTGTGTGCCGTTACTGAAGAGGACTCCCACGGTGTGGTCCGACAGCTGGTAGCCAAAGCCGTACTTGTTGGAGTAGTCCACCCATTTGGTCACCCACTGGAAGCTGCTTCCCAGATTCTCTTTGGGAAGGTCATCAGCTGGGGGGGAGGGGGGGGTTGGGAAACGTTAACTCAATACTACAGTACTATAACTTTCATTTTAATTACATGTTTAGGTTGCCAATGTTGTGTGAAAGGTGCTATATAAATAAAATAAATGTATATCATTCAATTATCTCCGTAATGAACATTCAATGTAATGAACATTTAAAGCAAAGAACATTCAATTCATTGTTTATTACATACCTTCCGGCATATTCTCCAGACACCCTCTCAGCACCCGGGCCACGTTGTCTGCTACACTGCCCACGGTACTGTCCTCAAGACCTGCAGACCAATCAGAAATATCATCAAAGCCCATTCTCTATGTTTACAATTGGTTTCAAAAACATCCTACTGAACTGGGAATCTATCCGATCGTATCTCACAGACTTCTAAAAAGAAGACTGCACAAAAAAAATTCCACTCATACTTTTTTTTTTATGTCACAGTGCACAATAAAGGGAATAGTGTGCCATTTTGGAAACAAACCCAAGTCTCGCTCTGCACTTACATTCACTACTGCAGCTGCCCAGGGTGCCCCTGACAATCATACGGATTGTGTCCCTCAGCTGCTGCTTGTTGGTGCCGTTGACCCCTTCCTTGCTGGGGGCCACCGGCCTGGCCACGGTGGGGGCCACCGGGGGCTTGCTGCTGTCCTCAGAGGCCTGTCTGGAGAGAGGCTGGCTGATGGACGTCTTCCTCAGGTCGTTCCGCAGCCTAGTGAGCTCCTCTTCCTCTTTGGCCATTCGATCTGTGGGGCAGAACGAAATGGCAGTTAGAAAATGGTGTTGAATTTAACTAAAATGGCCACTAAGTAGTAAGATCAGTATCGTAAACCTGACCATTTTACATGAAAAATAGGTTTTACATTTTTGTCAGGTTACTTTGATGCATGTATGCATCTGTATTGGAGCAAGTAGACCTAGCTCTATTGCAATTCATTGAAAATGATGTGATGGCTCAATCTGACTGAGCTATATCATCATCATCATAATACTCAAATACCTTTTCAATACTTAATGTTTCACTAGGATAATACATTTTTTTGTGATCCAATTGACATTTTAGTCATTTAGCAGACGCTCTTATCCAGAGCGACTTACAATTAGTGAGTGCATAAATTGTTCGTACTGGCCCCCCGTGGGAATCGAACCCACAACCCTTGCGTTGCAAGCGCCATGCTCTACCAACTGAGCTACAGGAGGGCCAATAATAAGCACGCATGTCCATACTAGGACTGGGAGTATCTTTAAACTACTACTTACTCAAAGTCCCCAAGTACTTGGCTTTGTCCTTCTTGCCCCCTCCGAACAGGGCAGCCGCAGCCTTCTTAAAGAAGCTCTTGGCAGGGCTGGTGTGGTGGAGGTCTGGGGCTGTGTGGCAGCAGCTGGCAGGCAGCTTGTCTGGAGTGTACCCCTGGGAGACACACATAAAGGGAATGGAAGTTAGCATGGTGTTGAGGTAGCCCAGGGACCAAGTATGGATTGATCTCTACCTAAATATGGGGTTAATGGAGTTGATGCGCGTGGAGAAAAGTGTTGAGGAGTGTGAGAGTGGGTATGGTTGGTATGTGACAGATCTGGCTCTAACACACACACACAGAGACAGACAGCCTCCCCCTTCCAAACATAAAACACACCTGGGTGAAGAAGTCGTGTCTGAGGATGTCCTCCAGGTGTGGTCTGTCTGCAGGGCTCTTGGCCAGCATCCTGCTGATCAGCTGTTTGGCCTGAGCCGTCAAGGAGGAGGGCAGCGTGTAGCGTGCCTCACGGATACATCGGTACGTCTCCTTAAGGTTGGTGGTCTCGAACGGGGGTCTGCCAAGGAGCATGGTGTACCTGCAGATGCAAGGGACAGACAGAGACAGTCAGTAACCCCACTAATGACTGACAGTGATTGGGTCAGACCTATAATCTATCCACCTTTTTACAGTCAAGGGAATAGCCCAGTGTTCACAACAATCACAACCATTAAATTGTAGCTGCCTGCACCACCATTTAAGATGGTCCAAATAAACATGAGTTGAATATCTAAACTTGAACTTCAACGGCTGAATCCTAACATGAGAAGCATGTGCATAACCTAAACCTATATTACAAATCTCAAATCTCCAACTGACACAAATGCAGGATTTAGCCAAGTTGTTAAGTAGCCTACATCTCAGGTTAGGACTTAAACCCTTAGGGAATTCAGACATGAATCTGATCTGAATGATGCAAAAGGCTCCATTGAGGTGAATCGGAACATGGAAGTATCCAAACCAAACGTACATGACACATCCCAGTGCCCAGATGTCCGACTCGCAGCCGTGGCCCTGCTTGTTGAGCACCTCGGGGGACAGGTAGTTGGGCGTGCCACATATCGTCCTCCTTCGGTTCTCCACGGGCTCCAGCTTGGCAGCCAGGCCGAAGTCCCCTACCTTCAGGTCCATAGACTCGTTGATGAAGAAGTTGCCTACGGGGGGGAGGGGGGAGATTAGTGACGTTGGTCATGATAATGAGGACATAACCTAAGAGGGGAAAATATACAAGAGGCAGTCTGTCTAATGAAATTGGCTATGCACATCACCATCTTATGAAAAGCACAACATTCAGCAAGGTAGAATGATTATTACATTTTAGTCATTTAGCAGACGCTCTTATCCAGAGCGACTTACAGTTAGTGAGTGCATACATTGTCATACTGGCCCCCCATGGGAATCGAACCCACAACCCTGGCGTTGCAAACGCCATGCTCTACCAAATAATTATTCCTTTAAAAGCTGTGTTAAGTCAGAAGTCAATGAGAACCAATGTTCTTTCAATGACCTGAAGGATGTGCCATTGTTCTATAACATTCCAGGAATGGTTAGCATCCATTTGTCTGCTTAATGGTGAAACAAAACGATATTTCGTCCAATGGTCCAACAGAGACTGGTGTAACTGGCCAACCTACCCAGTTTCAGGTCCCTGTGCAGGATCTCCTGTTCGTGGAGGTACCTCAGCCCGGAGACGATCTGTCGGAGGTAGTACCTCACCTCAGGCTCCGTCAGTACTTTCCGAGCCTTCAGGATGTGGGCCAGTGACTGCAAGGTAAACAAAGGAAGTGGTTAAAAAGACTGCACCTCTGTTGATACCAAACAGGAAGTAGGCAGCAGGGTCGTGTTAATTAAGGCACAACATTTTGCAAGGGAAAATGAAAATGAGCATTTGTTAATGAACCATTTCAGTAAAGGTTAGGGGAGGGTATTACTTACTCGTCGACTGCAGTATTCCAAGAGAATGTAGATGTTGTCTTTGTCCTCAAAGTAGTGGTAGAAGTGTACAATGTGTTTATGGTGGAGAATTCTGTGCAGCTCAATCTCTCTGTCAATCTGTTGATGAATTCAAATTACATTTTGTCAAATAACATTAAAAAACTAACAATTGATGTATTGTTATAAATAACATGCACACACACACACGATATGTGCCACCATCGATAAAGGAACATAAAGCAGTTATTGCTCATACCTTTTCCCTTTGGTGCGGTTTGGAGACGCGCGTGTGTGGAATGATCTTCGCAGCATACACTTTGCCTGATGCCAAATCTGTGAATTCATAACATTTGGCAAATCCTCCCTATGGACAGAGAAGTGTCAGATTGGTAAATCAACAAAGAGGTATTGAAAATGGACCAGCAGATCAATGTAGCCTGACGCTCAATATCTTATCACAGCCATATGTGTAATTGCATGGACCCACAGAGAAACCGTTTCTAGCCTACGCCAATAATGTGATAAATCATAATCTTATCAATAAAAATGGTTTGCAATAGGCTACTGCAAATGAAAACATGAACAGTGTACAAATGATTTTTCCATGGACAATATTGGAATTTTATAAAAGATTCAGCCAGGTAGAATTCCTAACCCATCTGTTGAAATGAATTTACCTTGCCCAGAACTTTTCCTCGGCAATAGCATTTCCCCTTCGTAGGATCCGTAATAATCCGTGACAACTCTTGTGTGGATTGAATTTGCTCCTCTGATTTCTTCCTATTGATCTCGGAGGACTTGTTCACCGAGTGTTCACACATGGTGGGTTGGTGAGCGATACTCCTGAGAATATCCATATCTGCTCTACAGCGAGAGACACTTGCTGTATTTGTTGTGGAGCGATGAACAGTCGCTCGGAGCTTTATAAAGGAGTGTCCGCCCCTAACAATCGACGTCACACAGTAGGGCTCTCCGCGGAGCGGGTGAAGCGTGACGTGACTTCAAGCCATGTTCAATAAATCGGTGTTGAAGAACGCACGCGACAACACCTCTACCTTTCTCGTCATGCAAACTCGTAGGCAATAATAACCACAATGTGAGACAAGCTGCTTCATAAGAATACGCAAATTAGCTTTGCCTACTTATTTACAAAAAACGAAAGAAATCATAGCTGGCCTAATATAATTTTCGATAAATATATTTTTTTAAACGTTAAAAAAAACGTTTTAAAAACATATAGGCCTAATCTCGTGTACAGTCCCATCTCAAGTTCTATATCGTGGAGCTCCGCCCCATAGGGGAGCTCTGCTCCTATTGGTTTACCCACTGCCCTAAGGCAGCATCAGCCTGAGACAAAATTATGCACACACCTGCAGCCAATAGGAGTACAGGTGTCCCTATAAGAGGGGATGCCTCCCCTCAATCAGCCTCCCTTTATCTTCTGCGACTGGACTAGAAGAAGCAAGAGACGAAGACTCAGGACGAGAAAACCTGGAGATTTTCCACCCCCAAAAGCTATTTTCAGAGCTCAATGCCATTGTTCTTCCAAGGCAACTACGGACCCCCACGACTTGTGTTTCGTGTGTTTGGGTGCGCAGCATGCCAAGGACGGAACCGGCGTTCCCCCTAATTGCGCCTCCTGCGCCCTCCTTCCTTTGAAGGAGAGGAAGCAGCGCTGGGCGTTCTTCAGGGAGGATATTCCCTTAGAGGATGTGGCTCATCGGAACAATGTCCTTGACCCAACTTTAAGACCCTTTTCCTCAGCTCTTGGCGCTGACGACAGGAGATCAGTATCCTTGCAGCGGCCTCTTGCGCTCGAACTCATTGAGGGGATGCTATCGACTGGAGATAGCGCTGCCCCCCATTCCCCCAGGGGAGGATAGATGGAGGCGGACCCTATTCCGCAGAGAAGGCGCTGAGCCATTCCAGCTGCCTCTCTCAGCAATAGTCGAGGGCTCATGGAACTTAGCGGCGCGTTCAGACGAGATGTATCCATCCCAGAGTGGAAGAAGGGAGAGGCTCAAGGATTACGAGAGCGCTGCAGGTACTAGTGCCAGGCGAGTGACATCCTCAAGAAAGCCGCTCTACCAACACAGAAGGACAGCTCACAGCGCAGCTGGCATGAGACAGAGACTCCTTCACGTTGGAGCCCAAGCTGTTGTCAGCAGCAAACAAACATTGCCCGCCTTGCGGCCTCGCTATTTCACATTTAAACCACGGTAGATCTGAGCCACGAGTGAGGAGGGAAGAGGCGTTCAGGATTTCTGGCGGGGGCTATTTTCACCGGACGCGGCGTCTGCTATTTGTGCGGGGGGAAGGTCCATGGCCACTTCGGTGGTCATAGAGCATCCCCTCTGGCTGTCCTTGACTGCCATGAAGGAGACCGACAGAGCGTCACTGCTCAACGCCCCCCTCTCCGATGACGGGCTCTTCGGGGTCACCGTCAAGGAGGCGACGGAGCGTTTCGCTAAGCTAGACGAGGACAAGAAGCAGCTGGCTAGACACCTGCCACTGGCAGGGAGGTCTAGTCACACGCCACAGAAACCGTCTACCTCCAACGCCCCCAGTAGATCTTCTACAGTGAGGCGGCGTGCCAGGCGTCAGACGTCAGCCACGAGCAGCAGGCGAGTGGGCTCCGCCCCCCCAGCAGCACCCGTGGCTACGACGGTTCCGCCAGCGAGGGAGGTGTTCACGAAGTCGCCCTGGCAGCACCCTAAGGGGGCGCAGAAGAGGCGACGCCAATGACGGGACGAGGGGGAGAGAATGGGAGCTGGCTCGGCGTGGGATACGACTGAGCCCATTATTCCCCCCCACCCTTCTGTTCGGGGTATGGAGGAAACTGTTTGTTTTGATGTGTTGAATAAAGAGTTGGCTCCCATTGACATTGTCACAAGAGAGCCCCTTTTCCATAACACGTCTGAGAACGTTCAGAGTACTTCACGCCCTAGGTCTCTCTCCCAACACTCTGAGTGTAGCTCAGCCCACCGAGGGTGTGTAGCTGAGCACACACAGGAGGTGAGGAAGAGAAAGGTAGCAAGGCGCAGCCTTAGCTTACCTCATAAAGATCTCACACCACAGACTCCTAGGAGCACTGTAGTAAAGGTCTCACATAGCGGGCTGCAGTCTCAGTCAGACAAGGACATGATGACGCAGCCGCTATTTGGGGATGACGCCTTGTCTCAGGCTAACGCCTCAACCAGCGCAGTTCAGACTCGTGCTGCGTTCACGGAGGGCCGGAATACTAGTTACGGATGTAACCAACGTATTGGCGCCCCCGTTTATCACAGAACTCGTTAAGGTTCACCACTCCGAGTATAGCTCAACCCACCAGAGGTGCGCAGCTGAGCAAACACAGGAGGCGTGTGAAAAAAGGGTATCAAGGCACCGCCTTGTGTTACCCAATAGAGACCTCACGTCACAGACTCTTAGGGGTACTGTAGAGAGGGTCTCACACAACAGGTTGCAGTCTCAGCCAGAGAATGGCATGATGACGTGACCTATATCTGGGGAGGGCGCTCTGTCTCAGGCTAACGCCTTAGTCAGTGCAGTTCAGACCCGTACTGCGTTCAAGGAGGGCCGGAATACTAGAGTTACGGATGTAACCAACGTATCGGCGCCCCGTTTCTCACAGAACGTATTGATTCTCACCACTCTGAATGTAGTTCAGCCCACCAGAGGTGCGCAATAGCTGAGCAGACACATGAGGCTAGTGTTAAAAGGGTTTATCAGGGCACCACCTTTGGCACCCAGTTAGAGACTGCAATCGGCAGACTCTGGGAAAGTGCTGTAGTGGGTGTTCTCATGGCAGGCAGCAGTCTCAGCCATACAATGGATGATGACGCGACCGCTACCCCCGGGGAGGGCGGCTCGTCTCGGTTAACACCTCAGTCAGCGCAGTTCAGACCCGTGCTGCGTTCACGGAGGGCCGGAATACTAGAGTTACAGACGTAACCAACGTATTAGTGCCCCCGATTCTCTCAGAACGTGCTGATGTTTCCTTTCCCTTTCGAGGGAGGCCCGCCTTGGGCTGTTCCACCACCTCAGTGCTGGGGAATAGCGGCGGCAAGGGCCATAGAGGAATACAGGTCCTTCCTACTGACTGTACCACAGCTTCGCGCTCGCCCGCTTTCTCTGCATTGCTGGCAGTGGCAACGAAGCTGTACCCTCTCACGCTGGCTAGACTAGACGTTGCAGAATGGTTATGCCATCCAATTCCATCGGACCCCACCCCCATTCAGGGGAGTAGTGGAGACTGTGATGAAAACGCCAGAAAAAGTGGCCGCTCTGGTTTCAGAGATTACGGAACTTTTGGCGAAGGAGGCGGTCACAGTAGTTCCCCAGGAGCAAAGGAACAAAGGGCTATATTCGCCCTACTTCCTGGTGCCCAAAAAGACGGGGGGAGTGAGGCCGATATTGGATTTGGCACTCTCAACGAGTGTAACCAAACGGCCCTTCCGAATGCTCACGACAAAACGCTACGAAATAGTCCAGAAGGAGACTTTTGTAACAAGTATTAGACCAAATGGTGTCATTTCATGGTTCCTCTCTCGCTCAGTGCAGATCTGAACTATTGGAGAAACCCGAGCGTTCTCACGCACGGAGTCCCGATAGGCAAGGTGTCATCCTACATTCCAGTGTATACAGATGCCTCTCTGACTGGATGGGGAGGGACATGTCAGACCCAAGCGATAGGAGGTGTGTGGCCTCTTCGAGTCGCCACATCAACCTCTTGGAGTTGGAAACGGTTCGACTGGTTCTGACCCACTTCGCGTCTACCCTTCGGGGTCGCGATGTGCTGGTCTGGTCAGACAAACGGACCACAGTAGCTCACATAAATCGCCAGGGAGGAGTCAGGTCTCCTGTTCTCCACCGGGCGGCAGAGGAATTGTGGCTGTGGGCTCACGAGCATTTTCGCTCATTGAGAGCAGCACACATTCCGGGCTACTTGAACGTAGGAGCAGACCTCATGTCACGAGGGGGTCCTCGAGACGACGAGTGGTGTCTGCATCCGGACATTGTTCTCAAAATTTGGGAACAGTTCGGGAGAGCCGAGGTGGATCTATTCGCGTCATGCGTGAATGTGCAATGTCCCCTGTGGTTCTCTCTGAGGGAACAGGACGAAACCGCCACTGGGCAGAGATGCATTTGCGCACCACCCGTGGCCGAGAGTTCTTCTATATGCATTCCCTCCACTGTCCTGCATTCTCCCACTGCTAGCAAGGGTGAGATCAGGAGGGCTGTCAATAATATTGATCGATCGACCAGGGGCTCCATGGTTTGCGGAGATGAGTCAGATGTTGATTGCACCACCTTGGCCAATTCCACATCGACGGGACGCATTGACTCAGGCGGGGGGTTCGATAGGGCAATTGCCCATAATCGGCCAACCACTGAAGGCTTGGCTGCTGAGAGGGACAGGCTAGAGCGCCGTGGGTTATCTGATGCAGTGATCAGGACCATACAGGGTTCACGTGCCAGTTCCACTTCCAGGATGTATGCCAGCAGATGGAACGTTTTTTCACGGTGGTGTGTCACACAGGGTGTGGACCCCATGAGCTGTCAGGTTGAGAGTATTCTCTCTTTCCTGCAGTTTATGTTTGATAAGCAGAGATCGCCCGCCACCATTAAGGTGTTTGCAGCAGCAATTTCAGCTTGTCACGAGGGGTTTGGCAGAGACAATGTCTTCAGCCACCCTCTAGTGAAACGTTTCTTATTGGGAACGCGGAGGCTTAGGCCAATGCCTAGAGCCACGCTTCCTCAGTGGGATTTGGCTTTGGTACTCGAAGCGCTATGTAAGTAGCCGTTCGAGCCATTGAATCAAATACCCCTCAAGATGTTGTCTATGAAGACGGCACTGTTGCTCGCTTTGACTACTGCTAAGTGTGTCAGTGATTTGTGTGCTCTTTCGACGAGACCCGACTGCCTTGCCATTAATGGCGATCTGAGCAGAGCGGTGTTACGTCCTAACCCGGCATTTGTGCCGAAGGTTATTAAGAGCTCATATAGGTCACAGACCGTGGAGCTGTGGGCTTTTTCTCCCCCTCCTCATAGGGAGAGGAGAGAGGAAAGGCTCCATCGCCTGTGCCCAGTGTGCGCTTTGGCATGTTACGTTGAGCGCACAGCAGCGATTAGGTCATCGCCTCAGCTGTTTGTGTGTCACGGTGCGGCTGCACTAGGTAGACCACTTTCGAAACAGCGTTTGTCTCATTGGCTTTGTGAAGGCATTGAGACAGCTTATGAGGCAGCGGGGCGACAATTGCCTCAGGGTATAAGAGCTCAATCCACTCGTGGAGTAGCAGCTTCTACTGCCCTTCTCAGAGGAACAAGGGTAGAGGATATATGTAGAGCGGCGTCATGGTCGACACCGTCTCCATTTATTTGTTTCTATCTCTTGGATATGTCTTCTAACTCTTTGGCTCAGTCTGTACTCAGCGTGGCTGAGGGGAGGACTTGAGCTAGGAGAGAGGAATGCAGGACTGAGGAGACAGGTCTCTTTCAGGTCCGCTTCTGATGGAAGGACATATTAGGGCATGACTCCTGACTGACATGTTCAGTACAGTAGAGAGCATGTATTGGTCTGCCCACCAGTGGATAACTGGGTTGAGGCGGAATGATGAGGGATAATAGTAGTAACCTTGGTTACAGTACTATTAGACCGGTCATGACAATTTTGACGGAATGTGACGTCATCTATCTGCTTGTGCAGATTAGTATGAATCATGTTCTGGGATCTGCCCACTAATCTCTGGGTTTCCATTGATTGAGTGAGGCGGTCTACCGTGTACACAATGTAGAGTGACACTTTGTGTCATTCCATTAGCGGTCGGTATTATTGTGACAGGATATTGAGGTATCATCTATCTGTTAGTACAGATTAGTATGGCCCGTATTCTGGTAATCTGCCCACTAGTCACTGGTGTTGCCATTGGACATAGGTGGGGCGGGTTTTTAACCGATGACGCAGTATATTGTGACACTTGTATTTTTATACAGTGGTTGCAGTACTGCGGGAATTGGTTGCAGCCATTGCTAGGCCTGACCTTTTCGTTTCGATGGGAAGTGTTGGGCTCGGCAGGGAGTACATTTTGGAGCGCTACGCTCTGCCTTAAACCAATAGGAGCAGAGCTCCCCTATGGGGCGGAGCTCCACGTTATAGAACGATTAGTTACCGGAGTGTAACTCCAGTTCTATGAGTGGAGCCGAGCCCCATATGATTTAAGGCCCTGCAGACCCTCACTAGTCTCGCTGAAGATAAATATCTCGGGAGGCTGATTGAGGGGAGGCATCCCCTCTTATAGGGACACCTGTACTCCTATTGGCTGCAGGTGTGTGCATAATTTTGTCTCAGGCTGATGCTGCCTTAGGGCAGTGGGTAAACCAATAGGAGCAGAGCTCCCCTATGGGGCTCCCTCCTCATAGAACTGGAGTTACACTCCGGTAACTAATCGTTATCAAACTGAAACTTTATCACCACCTTCAGATGATGATGAATGATGGTTCCAAATAAGAGACCAAGATGTTGGGCTACTATACTCCCTAAAAAAAAAAAACTTACAGGGGTTATAAAAATAGGGAAACACCCCCCCCGTTTTTGTGATCATATTTGTGTATTAAATAGGAACCGAGAGAACTGTTTCTTCTGCTCTGATAGTGGTTGGAGGGGTGGGGACGCCACCCAGTGGAACTCAACGCATCTTCCATACATATGGTGCGCCTCGTTATGATGATGATCAGTGTGAAAAAAGACACCTAGACAATATGTTTTTTATTTTATTGCTCAGCCAAATGACAATCAGTTGTATCTAAAGTTTACCTAAGTTCACCCGAATCAAATATTCTACTGTTTGAGCACAGCACATGAATAACTACCAGGTTTTTCTATTATTTCAAATGTACTGTATGTCTTAATATAATAATATTAATATACCTTATAATGTCTTTCTACTACAAAAAAACAACACCAGCATTGGTCAGTGTGTGAAGATAATTGCACTGTATAACAGCTGGTGGCATGACACCATGTGTGACAAACCTATATGCAGGATGTGTGTGACAGAGTTTCACTTTTTTTTTCACACCAAATCCAGAGGTGGCTGGTTGAAAAGGATGTAGCTATAGAAGACAACTAGAAGCTCCAGTCGTCTCTCTTTACTGTCGGAGTAATCTCCTGGAAGGTGTAAGGTAAGACACATTTAACTGTTCTATAGTCCTAGTTCTATTGTATACTATTACAAATATTACTGCACTATAACTGTATTATTAGAGTGGGTTAACGTGATCAACTTTTGTATGGTAGCTTTTAAGTCCTGATGACTGGAAGGGAGTGGCAGGTAGCCTAGCGGTTAAAAGCGTTGGGCCAGTAACTGAACGGTTGCTGGTTTCGATTACCCCGAGCTGACTAGGTGAAAAACCTGTCGATGTGTCCTTGAGCAAGGCACTTAACTCTAATTGCTCCCGTAAGTCCCTCTGGATAAGAGCGTCTGCTAAAATATCAAATGTAGACGCATCCCTATTTAAGTCCTGATAACTAGAAAATATAAATATATGACGTTTAGCAGACGCTTTTATCCAAAGTGACTTACAGTCATGTGTACATACATTCTTTTTATGTATGGGTGGCCCCGGGAATCAAACCCACAACCGCGGCGGTCCCAGCGCCATGCTCTAGCAACTGAGCCATGCAGGACCATCCCTATTTAAATCCTGATAACTAGAAGCATCCTTATTTTATGTCCTGATGCTAATTTGCATTCATTATGCGTTGTAATGTAACAGTGAACAATGAAGGATAGTGAATAGTATGTTTTTGTAAAGGTCGGTTTAAAAGTTCTGGTAATCCATTATCCCTAGAACATGCTAGTTTTATTTGGCTAGTAGATCCAATTATATTGATGTATTGCATAGAAAATACTTATTCAGTCAGTGAACGTGCACCGGACATGATGACTATTTCTGACCGTCTAGACTTTAGTCAGTTACCTAGCTGATTTGAAAATGGATTTGAAGTACTACTCCTTGTGATAAAAGTAGTATGAGTCTAACATAAGTTGTTCTAAGAGGAGGAACAGAAAAGGTTGAGAACCATAACGTTAGGCTAGCTGAATACATTCCATCTAGAAGTTTCCATTCACCTGCATTCTATTTCTATCTCTCTCCATTTCTGCTTCTACCTTCCTCTGCAGCTCTCTATCCTGACCCTCCTGTAGCAACCATGTCTAACTGCACCTCCACAGCCCCCTGTGGGGACAACTGCTGCCCACACACCAGCTGGGGTAAAATCCTGGGTCCGGTCACGTTTGTTCTCATCGTGCTTGGTTTGTGTGGAGGCCTAGCTTATTGGTGGCGTCGCCAGAACGGGCAAGTACCAGCCCACCTCCCAAGTTTCGCCCAAGCTAACACAGATCAACAAACACCCAGCGAAATCCTCTAGAGTCTCTGAGAACAGTCAACCACACCCTGTTATGAAAAGACCAACACTCCCATTCCCCACGGATGACGTGTCAATGTCTATGGCGGCTGGCTACCCTATGGGAAGCCACAGAGGTAGAGCTGGGTGCCATCGCTCCCCAGTTTCTCACCATCACTATGAGAGTGACTATGACCATTTGCAACTGGCAAGAGCAGAGGATCCAAAGGTTGCTCCTGGCAACCGGTCAGCAAGCGTGGGTAGTGAGGGGGACTATATGATGTATAATGCCCCAGAAGAAGAGGGTAGTGAGGGGGAATATATGATGTATAATGCCCCAGAACAAGAGGGTAGTGAGGGGGACTATATTATGCGTGATGCCCCAGAAGAACAGGTGGAGGAGGAGGAGGAGGAGGAGGAGGAGGAGGAGGAGGACAGCGTTTACGAAAACTACCCAATTGCCGTCAAAAATAGCTATGCATCTGCTGCAGCTGGACCTAGTGGCTTAGCTGTGCATAGATCCTAATAATTATCTGCAGGATAAGTTCTGACCACAACCACAGTCTTCAATAGAACGCTTTTCTCAGGGCGATTTTTCTTGTTCGAATGTCATTTTTTGTTCACAATTTGTGGCTTCAAATTGACTTAAGGCAAACCTTCCCAGGAAATAATGTCGCACATGTGAACTGATAAAAAAATTACTTCAAGCATGCGATCCTTAGGCTATGTCTTTGGTCCTGCTGCATATCCAACAAAGTGAATGTGCATTAAAGCTATATTAAACACTGTAAACAAGCATATGTATTTTATACCCATCTGTTTTACATTCTGCTAACAGCCTTTCTATTCTATGACTAAGATTTAATGTGGTCCTATTGAAGCTTTAGAGGGGCAGCAATAGCCAGCATGGTCTTTGTAATTCAACATGCACATTGAACAGACCATTATGTGGGGCCAATGAAATGTTTGTTAAGAAGTATTCTTGCACACCATTGCTTACCACACGGAGGGGCAATGAGCATGTTGTCATTTGCGCTAAGGAAATGTATTTATGTAACCTAATGAAATGTATTTATGAAACCTAATGAAATGTATATGACTGTAACCTATTGAGACACCGAAGGATAGGGCTTGCGGACAGTGCTTACATCATAGGCCCACACTTGGTCTAAACACGCCCTCTTGGAGCAGGTGTGTGGCCAATGAGGGAAGGGGAAGCAACACACCACCACCCTGGCATCCTCAGAAAGCTCCTTCAGCAGCTTCTCCTTTAGAACTTCCATCTGTCAGACAGCAACGGCACAGAAAGGGAATTAGATACTATGCTACGTGGGTTGAGAGGTAATACCGGCCCACAAGTAAGACTTTACTTCAGTGAACAGGGTTGAACAGGTTTGAGTCTTGTGGTCCACCAGGCTTTAAAGAAAAGTGAAACTTACCACTGCAGGGGCCAAAAATACAGTCACGTTGTTGTATCGTGATCCGTCTGCAAAAGACAAGAAAAGAACATAGCATAGAAGCAAACGAAGCAGCGCTTCTCGAACAACAGCAGTGGGGACCTTTTATTTACATCTCTGACGATATTGGTCATGGATACCGGTAGAGAATCTGTTAATAATTTCCTATACTATGTGTCATCGTTGTGACTGTAAAAGAGGTTATGGTCAAATTAAAATGTTCCAGTGACTTACTGCACATACTGGAAATGAAAATAAATAAGAAGCATGTTCTCAATCTACACAGATATTTTTGTAATTTATATTAGTTTTTATTGTACAGGTAGCCTACATGGTCCCTGATCAATAAACGTAATAAAATAAATCAATAAACATGGAATTCATACATTACCTTACAGAAATCATTGCTGACAAAATTGGCCTTAGTATGTGGTATTCCCCTCCACCATGCTCTATCTCGTGAACAGGCCTGCAGCATTGAGTTGATCTCAAACCCAGTGCATTGGAACCCAACTGAAGAAGCTTCAAATACCTGGCAGGTGGACAGTTCTCAAGCACAGCTATTTCATTTAGGAACCAATAACTCTTGTGACAAGAAGTTGAGAAAATCCCATCACAAGCAATCATTCAATATACGGAATAAGTTGATAATTTCTATTAGAAAATTATACTATAGTGCAACACTGCTGATTTCAACTGCCGTTTTCAGAATTAGTAGGTTCAAACCAAGCTGTCTTTATTTTTATTTAGGGTGTTCAGACTCACCAGTCTCCTGTCACCTGATCCTAGATCAGCGAAACGACCCTTACGGCCTTCAAGGAGCTTCCTGACGTTTGTAGTTTGCTCCTTGCTTGACGGCAGGTATGACACCTAAACAGACACAATATAAACATCATCCGGTTGTTGGGCAGAATTGGGATTCACATCACACCTAGTCATGTGGTGACAGATAACAGTAATATTTTTCTTTCATGTCAATTCTCAAAATACTATTAGACATAACTGAGTGAATGTCTAAGGCACTGCATCGCAGTGCTAACTGTGCCACTAGAGATCCTGGTTCGAATCCAGGCTCTGTCGCAGCCGGCCGCGACCGGGAGACTCATGGGCGGTGCACAATTGGCCCAGCGTCGTCCAGGGTAGGGGAGGGAATGGCCGGCATGGATGTAGCTCAGTTGATAGAGCATGGCGTTTGCAACGCCAGGGTTGTGGGTTTGTTTCCCACGGGGGGCCAGTATAAAAAAACATGTATTCACTAACTGTAAGTCGCTCTGGATAAGAGCGTCTGCTAAATGACTAAAATGTAAATGTAATGAATGTCCCTGAATGCCCTTTGGCCTAAGTGAATGAATACATTGTTTGTTTGTTCATATTTTCCAATCCTGAAGACAACAGGTATGGAGACAGGTTTCAGTGTATGAGAACGCCTATGTTTGTAGTTGTATGAGCTAGTCGATGTCTGCTGAGCATCTGGTTTAAAATATCACTGGACTGAGACCTGGTCGGTCCATCAGTCAGTGCCGCCGTCTACAGCATGCATATCTGCTGGTATAAATGTGGGTTTGAATCCAGCCCACTATATGGATATCGCTTGTCCATATATGTATATATTCTTAATTCATTCCTGACTTAGATTTGTGTGTATTGGGTATATGTTGTGAAATTGTTAGATATTACTTGTTAGATATTACTGCACTGTCGGAGCTAGAAGCACAAGAATTTCGCTACACCCGCAATAACATCTGCTAAACACGTGATTGTGACAAATACAATTTGATTTGATTTGATTTGCCTTTGTGGGGGCACTCTCCGTCCATCTTTCACACCAGCTCTCCAATAAAACACACAAAATACAAAAAGTTGTATTTAAAAAAAGTATAATATGACTAGCGATACCTTGAGCCTAAAAGGCACTTTCAGGCCTGGCATCACAAACAGAACTCGGTCTCAGGGAAGGGAAAAGAGGAAAAGGTTGGCTAGACAGCGAGGAACGTCGGACTGAAAAAAGATGGCGGAAGCGGATGAGGAAGTGGAATCTGAATCTAATGGCGATAGAATCAAGGAGAATTAGAATTTTTTCCAAAAGAATGGAAAATGGAGCAAAGTAGAGTATGTGATGAGAATGTCATTTCATATCTAGTAGGAGTACGGTTTGTTCATGAGGAGCAGCTGATCTAATTACCAATCTTGAGGAATCCATTTGAGATATCCAAACTGGTGGAGAGAGTGCTGGGTAGAGTGAAGGCTGTGAGGATCACGAGAGGCGGGCTGGTTTAGATTTTTTGTGCTTCTGAGGATCAGAAGAAACGTGTGTTGAGTCTCACCCGATTTGATACGTTTTAAGTGTCGTGTGTGTTTCTTAGGAACAGGGCACTCCTCAAGGGGGTTATATCTGGAGTCTCATGAGAAGTAGATGTTGAAGAGATGAAAAATATTCCTGGAGTGATTGATGCACGTCGGATGAATCGTGTGGTGAATGAAGAAAAAGTGAAGAGTCTATCTGTTCTTTTGTTTTTTGATATGGAGTCTCTCCCTACTCAAGTGCAGTTAGGGTATATTAACTACAGTCAGAGTGTTTATCCCAAAACCAATGCAGTGTGATCATTGTAAAGCTTTTGGTCATGTTTCAATTGTATTTTTTTATTTATATATATATATATATATATATATATATATATATATATATATATATATATATATATATATATATTTTAGGGGGTAGATCAGCTTAATATTGCAGATAGATTGTAACTTCCATCAATGTAATTGTCTGCATCACTTCCAATCCCCCATGTTATGTATGTATGTATGTATATATATATATATATATATATATATATATATATATATATATACACATACATACATATACACATATACATACACACACACACACATACACATACATACATACATACATACATACATACATACATACATACATACATACATACATACATATCCTTTAAAAAATATATACTCCCCTTTATTACTTTCCAACCCCACCACCCTTTCCCTAATTGGAGTAAACTAGTGAACAACAATGCTTAGGCCTCTACTTCCAGCTTATACTTACTATATACATTTTATGGACACAGTCAATTTTACAATAATTATATTTTGTTTGTTTTTTCTCCTGAACTTCTTCTATTCTCAACCTCTCCGATCATTTTCATGATGTCCATCCGGTTTGCTTCTATATGCCATATCTTTCTAACTCTGCTCTTTCACAAAAGCTCCCAACCTACAACCTATATACTTATTATGGACACAGTATGCTTACTTTATTAGTTATCTTGTTATTAGTTGTTGTTAGTTGTTATTAGTCCCATCCTTCAACTCCATTCAACACCACCCATCTATCTCTTAACACCATCCATATAGGATTTCTATTTGCCATATATTTTTCAACTGTACTGTGATGTTTTACAAAAGTTCTGAACCTTTCTATTCTCATTGTTTCTACAGATTGTAAATTGCTTAAAGTATTATTATATTATCGATCGATTGACTATGACTTTTCAGATCACCCAGTAATGCTATCTGCAAGGTTAGCTCCAGGTAAATATTGCAATCCTTTAGCCATTCCTGGACCTGTGTCCAAAAACAAGCTACAAATGGACAGTACCAAAACAAATGATCTTATGATTCTGTCTCTTCGCAGCAAAATCTGCAGAGCTGGGAAGATTGTATCCCCCATATAAATAACATTCCATTGGTAGCAATAATTTTATATAATAATTTAAATTGAAAGATTCTAAGTTTTGAATCCGGTGTCGTTTTGCGTATCAGTTCATAAACACTATGCCATGGGATCGGTACGTCAAAAATCTCTTCCCAACTATTTTGCAATCTATATGGGACGGCTGTCAATCCTTTGGTCCTTAAATGAAACTGGTATACTTTTTTATTTATCACAGTTTTCTTTAACCAATTATGTTCTTTAATGCAAGGCCGACAGACAAGTTCCTTACTTTCTCCCCCTTCCACTTTCCTCTTCCATTTTTGCGGTAAGGCTGCAATTATTTGGTTGTAATTTTGGGTAGAGCAGACATTTCCATATGTTTTTGTTAGCTGCATGTGCGACATAACATGTTTCAATTGTTTGCAGAAGGGAGAAGCCGAGATGTCATGTTAAATATCATATTATGTGTTATAAAAATGATGAAAATGTGACATGTTGCAATTGTGGTGGGAACCATGAAGCCACGTCTTTCGAATGCCCCACAAGGGTGAAAGAGAATGAGGTGACCAAAGTCAGGGCTATCCAGAGCATATCATATGCAGCAGCTGTTAAAAGGGTTGAGGGTTTGAAAGGTGCTCCTGAAGAGTCCATGGTGGTGGATAGGCCTTCACTGCAGGCTGCAGGGGTTGCCTTTCACCAGCAGGATCCTGACATTTTAAAGGTTAAGAAGGTGGACTTTGTGGCCTTTATAGCTATGGTGATAAATGGCACTGCCAAGGTGGAGAGAAGGTCCAGGAAGATATAAATCATTGTGGAAGCAGCGGAGCAGTTCCTGGGGCTGAAAGATTTCTCAGCGAAGGAGTTACACCCCCCTATCCACATCGACGGGACCGCAGTGGAAAAGGTGGAAAGCTTCAAGTTCCTTGGCGTACACCTCACTGACAAACTGAAATGGTCCACCCATTCAGACAGTGTGGTGAAGAAGGCGCAACAGAGCCTCTTCAACCTCAGGAAGCTGAAGAAATTTGTCTTGGCACCTAAAACCCTCACAAACTTTTACAGATGCACAATTGAGAGCATCTTGTCGGGCTGTATCACCACCTGGTACGGCAACTGCACCACCCGCAACCGCAGGGCTCTCCAGAGGGTGGTGCGGTCTGCCGAACGCATTACTGGGGGCAAACTACCCGCCCTCCAGGACACCTACAGCACCCGATGTCACAGGAAGGCCAAAAAGATCATCAAAGACATTAACCACCCGAGCCACTGCCTGTTCACCCCGCTATCATCCCGAAGGCGAGGTCAGTACAGGTGCATCAAAGCTGGGACCGAGAGAACAGCTTCTATCTCAAGGCCATCAGACTGTTAAATAGCCATCACTAGCACATTAGAGGCTGCTGCTGCCTATTGAAATCACTGGCCACTTTAAGAAATGGAACACTAGTCACTTTAATAATGTTTACATATCTTGCACTGCTCATCTCATATGTATATACTGTATTCTATAATATTCTACTGTATCTTAGTCCATGCCGCTCTGTCATTGCTTGTCCATATATGTATATATTCTTAAATTCCATTCCATACTTAGATTTGTGTGTATTGGGTATATGTTGTGAAATTGTTAGAATATACTTGTTAGATATTACTGCACTGTCGGAGCTAGAAGCACAACCATTTAGCTACACCCGCAATAACATCTGCTAAACACGTGTATGTGACAAATAACATTTGTTTTGATTTGATTTGATTTGACATGGAATATTGTCACAAGCCGTACCACCCTCTCAGAGACTGAGAAGGGAGATATGGAGAATTGAAAGAAAGAAGAAGTGGGAGTTTTGTTTTGTTTTGTTTTGTTTTGTCAATGTAGTATGACTGTAAGTCACTTTGGATAAAAGCGTCTGCTAAATGGCATATTATTATTATTATTATTATTATTATTATTGTATTTTTATTTGGGTGGATTAAGTTTCCCTATCACGTATGGATTTTCTTTTTACCTTGTTTTGGTTTCAACCCGTCCAGTTGGTGGCGGCAATACACCTTTTTGGGTTGTAGTCCGCCATAAAACCCACTGAAGAAGAAGAAGAAGACGAAGGCATCACAAACATGGCCCACAGCCCGTAGACCCCAATTAAGATGGCCAACATCCACAGGGTAACAGAGTTGTTGTTCTGGTAGCTGTAGAGGAGTGTTGTACTGTGCTCCTGGAGCATTACCTCGATGGAGTCCTCCATGGTGACATCACCCTGCTGTGACCATGCAGAGAGGCCATGTCAGAGTGCACAGTGTTTGATAATAAGTAGGGTCCAGAGTTTTACATGGTTAGGTACAACTAACCTAGGTATTATTTTAGCAGTGTTGGGGAAGCGACTCTGAAATCATAGTTTACCAAACTGCCAATTACTTCACACTGGAAGAAGTTAAGCGACACTAAAGCTACCCTTAAGAGAAATACTGTTTAATTTACATAACTAAAGCTACTTTAAAAAAGTATTTCACCACATCCAAGATACTTTGTGAAAATTATCATATCTAAATCTGAAAAGTCAAGACTACAAAATGCAAGAACATATCACTCTGGAGTCAGATGGTAACATAATGCGTAATTTAGCCTATTAAATACAAAAAAATATGTTTCAAGTGAGAATTAAGAAGGTCTGATACCGAAAAAGAAAGAAACTTCTTGCCTATTTCACCCGTTATTTTATTTAAGAAGTAGTGTAGTTTCAGTAGTTAGCTTCATGGCAAAAAAGTAATGAACTACTGAAAACCAAGATTAGAATTGAGTTAAACTACCACCAAGCTACTGCAAATTGTAGTTTAATTACTAGTTGAACTACATGTAGTACACTACTCCCCAACACCGTATTTCAGTATTAACTAAAGTTCCGATTTGGGACAATGAACCCAAACTATTTCACTCTTATATTCTCACTATAATTATATGACTACCTGCTGTGTCATTTCTGCATACAGGATTCACACTACACTGAACAAAAATATAAACGCAACATGTAAAATGTTGGTCCCATGTTTCATGATCTGAAATAAAAGAGCCCAGAAATTATCCATATGCACAAAAAGCTTTTTGTCTCAAATTGTGTGCAAAAATTTGTTTACATATCTGTTAGTGAGCATTTCTCCTATGGTATGGGCAGGCATAAGCTACAGACAACGAACACAATTGCATTTTATCGATGGCAATTTGAATGCACTGAGATACCGTGACGAGATCCTGAGGCTCATTGTAGTGCCATTCATCCGCCGCCATCACCTCATGTTTCAGCATAATAATGCACAATTCCTGGAAGCTGAAAATGTCCCAATTCTTTAATGGCCTGCATACTCACCAGAGATGTCACCCATTGAGCATGTTT